TTGTAAGAACTATTTCCCAACAACCTCCTGTAATGTTCTTCAACAATACCAAGTTGCACTCTCATACTCTGTGTGGTAGTGATCTAAAAGCATTGCAGCCTTTACACCTATTGCAGCTTTTATACTTGGATGCACACACAATTCACTCTCTTTCTTTGATCTCTGGCCTTTAATCATTGTGTCCCCCCCTTCAAATCTTGATGCTGCATTTCAGAATAGATTCAACTTCATAGGCGATTTTGCTGCAAATAAAAGCACAATAAGAGGGAACAGTAGTAGTAAATGTGTTAGCTTTCTTTCTAGTCCAATAAGGAAATATGACATTAGGGTATATTTCCAGATTACAACTCAACATTGATGCCTCTAAATAAAACATTAAGATACTAGGTTTGGTTAATAATTTCTCTGTTTTTCTTCTGTTGTGTTCCTTAAAAAATAACTTTAAAACTTATGCTGCATGCCCTTTTTATATTCCTTTTATATCAATAATAAATGCTATCCAGAAAGTAAGTGGAAATATTTATTTATTTACTTATTTTATTTCCACCATTTAGAGTACTTTTTCTGTTCTTTGAACATAAGATTTTGGGAAGGAAAAAGAAAAGATACCTTGAAAAAAATAAAGGGCCAGATTAGCCCATTGGCAATGCCTCGAGACATACCTCAATTTCTTTTTAGTATGTGACATCTGAACAGACACACTGTTCCCATGGGCAAGTAACATAATGGTGGAGAAAAGGGTTTTCTAATATGAATCAACATTGTACTTTTAAAGAATGGTTGTTGCCTGTTGACCACTGCTGCCCAAGTGCTTATATTTTATGGCTTTAATTTTATTGTCTATAATGGTTGTATTCTAAGACTTTAATTATTATGCCTTCCCAATGATTTAGAAAGCCTTCATTTTAAGAGCCCTTGCAACCTGTCTCACTTTTGTTGCCGTGTTATAATAGGCCAGTTTTGTTCCGCCATTCTCAGCCTAGCCCCATGAATTTCATTTCGTGCAATCATTCAGAAGATGGCAGTTCTCAGGGGGGTGGACTGCCATGTGTTGATTAATGCAGCTGGGATGCCTGTGTTCAGGCCATACCACTATGAATATTTGTCTTTTTCCAAATGAGATCAAGGACTTTCTCCTTAGTTTTTTAGCCTTAGGGTGCTTATTCCATTGATTTACTCGGTTGGCTTACTTTTTAATAGGGGAAAGACTAATCAGGAACAAAAATCCAAACTTGTCTGCTCTCCAGACTTCTTCTGGATTATCTGGTATAGCTAAGCCCAACCTTTGGAAAAGGAGTAGTTGGTGTGTTGCAGCAAAAACAACCATGATTTATTTGGCACTTAGAAGATGGACAGATTTATGGTGGTATATATTTCCATTGGCCAGAGAGACCATTTTGTCAGTTCATAATCACCTAAGTGCATAGTAGGTACACATATATAACCATAGAGAGAAGTGTTATTTATTGTCTGGGGCCTGAGCACCGAGTCTTCACTTACATGGTGACTAGGATGGCTACAAAGCCGAGTGCTAGTGAGACCCCAGACACTCGCCCTCTTAATTTCCCCAGAGATGTTTGTTACATTTTGCTAAGCATCAGTTTTTGCCAATAGCTTCTGGGTGGGGAGAGAGCCCAATTCACGTGCCATGTACTGGGCAGAGAAAATCCTCTTGGTACCACATAGCTCAGAGAAATACCTGACAGCTAGATTTTTGGGGTGGGTGGGGAGGGTGTCCTCTTTCTCTGAAAGTCAGCCTAAATTTGCATCTATACAACTTAGTTAGAATATACAAATGTTACATCTGCCCTGAGTCTTTTAGATATCTAGCAATGCCCCTTTTTGCTGTCATTGGTTTTAACAAAGTAGACCAAAAGGGCATGCCGTGTAAGAGATGCAGCATGTGTTTCACACTGCTATACAAACGGGTGATTTGGTTGATTTACAGGGCCTGTGATCTCAGTTTCTCTCTGTTTATGGCATTGATTGTGATGCATCCTGGGAAAAGACAGATACCTCTTGGACACTCCTCAAGGGGTGAAGAGCCCAGACTGGTCTTGTGCCTGTACACTCCAGACATCCCAACAGATAAGGACCAGGACAATCACTCCAAAACATGCATGTAAGAAACCTAACACAACAATTCTAGGCATGTTTACTCAGAAGTAAGTCCTACTCCAATAAGACTAATCCTAAACTTGCCTGGACATCAGTGGGGTGTGTAGAAGTGGCATAGCCATTGCTTCATCTGCAGCCTTGCCATTCATGCCAGCAGGGACACAAGGCAGGCAAAATCCTGCTTGGTGCTATGCCAGCCTGGAGCTGATATAGCAACTGAGCCCGGATCAGGCTCACTGTCTTCAAATGCTGGCAGTCAGCCTGGCTTGGAAACTAGTGTATTCCAGGTCTGTGCAGCCCTTCTCTGCCCCTGGAATGTTTTGTTTGGGAGTTTTCCATGGGCTACTGTTGGTGGGATTCCTGCTGCCAGTAATTTTGCCAGGCAGAATGGGGAGCTCTGCACTGGAGGAGAGATGCCAGCATCGGTCCATGGACAGAGACTAGTGGAACTGTTTTAGGCTGTGCACAGAGAGAGACACCTGCCCCATCCAACACCTCCCTCCCCAGTATTTCAGATTGTGGGGTTTAGATTGCAGCCTTATTTTCTAAGGCATGTTCAGAATTGTAGATTAAATCTGAAGCTTTTAAGAGGACACTGTACCCAGGGAGTTAGGCTACAAAATGGCACAAAGCAGATTTATTTAAAGTAATAATACACTGTTAAAATATATTTTGAAATATGAAGCACCTGTTAAATGTAATGTGCATATTGGTGCAAGATATTCAGACTGAAAGAGCTTAAGGTATTCCGTTCAGGTCTCTAGCAATGCAGAAGTAATTAAATGCACATATATCACTTTACGAACACATACCGGGAAAATTGTCAATATACAACTTTCAACATCCATTGGTAAAATGCAGCCCCAGCAGTGAACATCACCTTAATGAAAATCTGTGAAATACACAACTGTACAGTGTTCGGCAATAGATAACAAATTGAAAATAAGGGAAATATTATGGAGACACAAAAATGGAACATTGTATTTAATTTATGCTTTATATTTCAAAGGGTATTTTAATAATATGTTGTAACTTTTAATAAGCCTCTTCTGTGCAATTTTGTGCTCTAACTTTTGAGTGTAGCATAGAACTTTTTCTTAGAATTTATTACCCTTGCTTTTTGTATGTGAGGGTCTTGTACAGCCTTTAAGAGGATTGCAGTGTAGGATCATTTGAATCACGGGGGACCTTGAGCTGCACAAATATGAGGCTCCCTACCAACGATTGATTGAGTGAGGGTTTAATAGTCATTTATGCTAAAACATGCAGTGGGAATAATTTTACTCAAGTGCACAATATGCTAATATGACAGCATAGGATCAAAGTACAGTAACAATTCCTTCATTGAAACTTCCTTGGTAGCAACTGCAGGGAATGCTCTCTAAAAGGCCTTTATTGGTCCTTGGTATCTTCAGTGCTGAACAGGCAGGGTCCCATGGACACTGGGAAATGTAGTTCTTCTGGTTGCATGAGTTTTTAATATAGATAGCAGGCAACCTGGAACTTCTTTATTGTTGTTGTTATTGCTGCTGCTGTTGTTGTATAGTTGCTTATCCCCCACTTCAAATGAAACTAACTCACACCATTTACAATGGATTCATGTTACACTGAAGGCGTTAAAGACAGGTATACACTGAATGACTACATTGTAGAAAGGTAAAGGCACTTTATAAAGAAAAGTAATAGAGGTACAGAGATACAGAAATTTGACTGGGGGCATTACAGGTCTCTTATGAATGAAGAACAGACAGGACACAGAACATACCTACATCATAAAAAAATCCAACTTATTAATATGTGTAATGTAGGACCTACTCTAAGGAAAATGTGCATAGCATTTCAGTCTGTTGTATTTAACTTCATGGAATCTAGAGCAGCATTTTAGCCCCATGACAACTCTGTGAGCTAGTTCAGGCTTAGAGAGAGTGGCTTGTTCAGTGAGCAAATAGCTGAATTGGGATTTGAACCTTGTTTCCCACATCCAAATATTGCATTGCCACAACAGATTACATTCCAGCCACCTCTCAATTTCTCTAGAGGCATCTACTAACTTGATTAAGTGATTGAGAGACAAAACTTCATCCCAACACAGTGTTGGTGAGCAACTATAATGGAAGTTAATCATTAATTGTACATGGACTCAGAAAGACAATTTTAACCGGAGCAGAACCAGGGATGACACTGTTGTTCTGAATAAGGATGCCCATTAAATCCTAGATTTACCTTTTCATCTATCCGTGGAATAAATGCACTCTGAAGATCTTGCTATAAAAGTGGCTTGCATACTTACTTTTCTTCTGAAGTTTTTTTTAAAGACACTTTATTTGTGAGAGGCCATATGGTGTATCTTATCTTTTTTGCTCACTAGGTAGAACAATAAATCTATTGTGCCTGATGCATAACAATAGGAATCTGTTAGACCTTGCGTTCCTATCATTTGGTTGATGATTCAGTTTATATTTACATCCCATCCTTCTTCCCAAAGAAGCTTAGGATGGCATGCCTTTGTTAGTAATGTGCAAGAAAATGTAGAAAGTTTTTATTTTCAACTCAGCCAAGAAGATGGGATGCTCTGTAGCCTGTCCCAAACATATCCTGTTCTCTCTATGAAAATGTTGTGTTTCTCTACAGTTTGCCATTCTTTTGGTGTTTCCCATTGCTTTGGAAAAACATCAGCTGCCTTACAAATCCTTCCTATTCAGACACATTTAAAAGAAGAAAAATATGCATGAAAAGTGTTCAAAAAGTAACTGAAGCTCATTGTATAAGCAAGACAGAAGTATCAAAGTATAATAGAATCAAATAGAATCACAGAATTGTAGAGTTGTAAGGGACCCTGAGGGTCATCTAGTCCAACTCCCTGCAATGTAGGAATAGGAATATGCAGCTATCCCATACGGGGATCGAACCTGCAACCTTGGTGTTATCAGCACCACACTCTAACCAACTGAGCATTGCTAGCTTGCTACATTTCCCTCTGACTTGCAACAAGTTAGACAAGATAAATACAATAAATCCATAGGTTACTCTACTGACAATAAGACTGCCATCAGTGGAACATGGAGTGAAGTAATATTTGGCAATACACTTTATCTCATTCAGCTCCTGCCTCAAATAATCTGCTCCAGAGTCTTGTACAAGTCATATATTGTCAAATGAAGTTATATGGCCATTGATCATTTATATTTATTTATTTTTCTGCCATACCAGATAATCTTCCATTGATTGAAATTGTATTTCCATTTGCTCATCATATACTAGAGATGTGATAATTTAGAATTGGCTGAAATTTACATGAAGATTTTTGGTAGAATTTGTTGATAACCATAACAAGCTATAGTATTAGGAGATTGGGAATGGAATTATTAGAGGATTCTGAATTCCAAAATCTTCTTTGAGATAAGAAGGCTATTGATATGGAAATGTTGTGTTAAGGAATGGAAACTGCCAAGCAGCATCCTTAATATTCCAGAGCACAATCCACTAAGAACTAGGATTACATATACTCAACATAATTCCCACTGGAATGGGTGGAAAATATGTGGCAACAGTCCTTATGGAGCGTACCTCTTTCCCTTGCAAGAAAGATTTGTTTTCAGAATTGGGGAATCTGACTTGAGCTGTCAGGAATGAACATAATTCACTATGGAATCTGAAACAATGTCCATGCTAGAGAATTCGAGGCATTCCCCAGTTGTAGATGAAATAAAATATTCACCACAGAAAATATAATGAAAAGGCTGCATAATTTTACATAATCATAGCACTAAAAATAATACAACTTGCTCAATTCACGAAGTTTTGCTATTTCTTCTACATGAACATTGCCATTTAATTGCAATTTTTTTTTTTTTGCAGCGTAATTTTTATTGCCTTGTCTAGGTAAATGTCTCTTGAGCCTGAAGCTGGCCAGTAGCTCACATCTCTCACTTGCAACATCTGTGCAACCAGACAGAAACAATGAGTCCTGCTAAATAATTCCCATGGGGATAGGGGACAACCACAGCAAACTTTGCTTGTATGAAATATTTACCCAGCATGTTCTTTCTATAGAGGAGCAAAGAGGTTCTTGTTAAGTTAATACCCTTTGTGTGTGGGGGGGGGGGGATGATTTACTGATTTCAGAAGGCTTCCTGTACAAATGTGTGTTGATCACACTGACAACCTTTCCAGTATGTAATGTTGACTGCCCATGTCACTCTATCACCTTTCGCCAGACCTAGGTCCAGTAATGGAACAAGGCACTGAACAGGACAACCCCAAGGTGGGCCTCTTGTTCAGCGATGGAGGCTCCACTGGAGCCATAATGTATGCCAAAGATTGTTCTTCTTGATATCCCATCATAATAAATTATATGGCGTTATGCAGTGCCATAGGAGGAGGGCTCCTATGTAGCTCAGTGGTAGAGCATCTGCTTGCATGCAGAAGGTCTCAGGTTCAGTCCACAGCATCTCTGGGTAGGACTGGGAGGGAACCCAGCCTGAAATCCCAGAGGGTTGCTGCTAGTCCAAATAAACTATTCTGAGCTGGATGGACCAGAGGTCTGACTCAGTAAGAGGAAGCATCCTACGTGTCTAGGAAAGAGCCTTCTCTGGGATGGTGCTCCATTTATGAGGTGTGTCTGGTGCCCACTTTGGGTTTTGTTTGTTTCAGTGCCAACTTAAAATATACCGATTTGTCCAGGCATATGTGAGGAGGCTAACTAAGGTCGCAGTCCTCACTTGTCTGGCAGTAAGTTGCAATGGATTCAACAGAACTTACTGCTGAATAGAAATGATGAGGATTGTACTGCTGGTTCAGTGCTGGAAGGATGGAGCCAGCTGCAGTATTAGAGGTTGTTTCAGAGTGCACTTATGGCTGTTATTTAAATTACTTTTTAATTGCTTTTGTTTGTTTGCATTGTCTTTTGTTGATATTTTGTTTTCTATAATCTGCCCTGGGATCAATACTGCTGAAGAATGGGCTAAAAAATTTCAAAACAAATAAAACAATTGCCTAGTATAGTTGTATTGGGTTAATTTACATACCTATAACATTTTTTTAAAAAATGGTTTATTTTCTTTCCGCGTGTGTGGACAACTGCCTAGCTATAGTCAAAGGCTCAGTCCAATATGAAAGTAACAACAGAATGAACGATTGAGCGCTAAGAGCATAGTGACAACATATGAGAAACTCCTCTCCTTATTCTGTCACTCAGAGCTGGCGCCACCCTCTTCAGGGCTTCTTATTTAGCCCTCCTGATAACAGCTTTTACACTGGAATATGGAGGTAGCCTGAGCTTTGGGGACATAGGTAAATGGGCAAAACATTGTTGTCAAGAGGAGACAAACGAGAAACTCCACTGGTGGGCAGTTCAAAGCTCCTGATTGTTCTATTGTCATTGAAATATATTGTTTTAAGGAGCTCCAAAGAATGCACAAGTGTGGACTTATTTCTGCAGGAGCAAAAGGGAACAAATTTGCGTTTTCCTGTTGGCATAAATAGTCTGCTGCCATCCACCTGATTTTGCTTTCCACTCGGCTCCCTCAGTGGTTAAAATGCCAGCACAGTACATTTTCCTAATGTGTTTTGTCAAAGTAGCAATTTTCTAATAGTGTCGTATGAAAAGTAGAAAATGACACAAAATGTTTGTGTTTTCTATTGATCTTTAAAATGACCCCGCTCCTTTTCAGCATAAGTGACTGACAATTACTTGGCAGATAACCCATGCAGACACCGACCTTGAAGAATTAGAGGAAATCTGTTCCACGGATGAAGTGTTCTTGAACAATTTCTCTGAAGGATTGCACACAAAAGTGCTTTCCTCCGGCATCATTCATGCATGCCCTCTTGTTCCACTCTCTGACTGTGGTACAAACGTGATGCTGTAGTCAATGTAAGGAAGAAGAAGAAGAAAAATAAACAAACTACCTTACACCTCAGTTCCCACCCACATCATTTTATAGAATGCTACAGTATAATGTACACACAAGTTGGATGCGGGTGGTGCTGTGCTCTAAACCAATGAGCCTCTTGGGCTTGCTGATTGGAAGGTTGGCGGTTCGAATCCCTGCGACGGAATGAGCTCCCATTGCTCTGTTTCAGCTCCTGCCAATCTAGCAGTTTGAAAGCACACCAGTGCAAGTAGATGAATAGGCATTGCTGTGGCGGGAAGGTAAATGACGTTTCCATGCGCTCTGGCTTCTATTACTGTGTTCTGTTGTGCCAGAAGCAGCTTAGTCATGCTGGCCACATGGCCTGGAACGCTGTTTGTGGGCAAATGCCAGCTCCCTTGGCCTGAAAGTGAGATGAGCACTGCAACCCCATAGCTGCTTTTGAGTGGACTTAACCGTCCAGGGGTCCTTTACCTTTACCTTTCCACAAGTGCACCTGTCTTTAATTCTTATTTTGTTCAAGCTTCACGACAACACCAGAATACCAAAATTGCAGACCACGTAACCATGCATCATGGCCTTGCAAGTGCTTGACAACCCACTTCCCACGTGTTTGCAAAGCTAAGTTAGCATTTAGCCCCTACACAGCACAAAAGTGCTTCACGCAGATGACCTGGTGAGGAGTATTATCCCCATAACATAGGTCAAGGGCTAAGACCTAGAGGCCTGCTTGGGGTTGCCTAGTGAGCTGTGTGGCAGAAGCAAAGCTCAAAGCAGCTATTGTGTTTTTATTTTCCCTAGGTCTCTGTTGCTATGCTACACCAGCTCTCTGAAGCAGCTGGGCAACAAAGGCAGGAGTTTTATTGAGCCCTGGTGGGCTAAATAAAATTCGGAGGCTATCTACCTGGCAGCCTAGTTGACAAGATCTTCACATCGATGCTCATCAGTGAAATGGGCAGGCTACAGGTTCAGTGCTGGGCATCTTTGCATGGTTTGGAGTAGCAGTAATGTCAGCTTCATGCAAGCTACCAGGTCAGCAATCGGTGTGTTTCCCTCCACAACACCAACAAGCAAGGGAACAATAGACCTTTTTGCAGGTTGGGAAGGTGTACGATGACACAGAGGAGCTGCCAGAGAGCCTCAGAAAATATGCCCCATTTAAAATAGCTATTATTTCTTTAGCTCCTCTCTTAGCCTCTGCCTGTTTTTACATCTCCCCAATGGTAAGAGAATTGGTAGTAACAGACCTTGGAGGCCACAAAAAGTGTCAGTATTGCAACCAGCTATTCACAGAGAAGGTGGAGAGGGGGGACAGAACATTTATTAAGTGAAATAAATGGTGGCTTGCTTGAACATTTGTGAACCTGGTCTTGATTTAGGCTGTGTGCACAGGATACCCTTAAAACACGTTCGAAACACATTCTTTCACACAAGGAATTCTGGCCACCTTGGTCTGTCTCTCACGGAGTTACAATTCCCAAGAACCCTTAATAAACTACAGTACCCAGAATTCTTTGAGGGAAAGAATGTGTTCCAGATGTGCTATAAATATTTAGTGTGCATGTAGCCTTACTCAACAAACCATAGTTGATGTAGAGCAGAAGTAGGGAACCTTTCTCAGCTCATGGACCAGGTTCCTTCCTCAGCAACCTTGTAGCTGGTGATGGGTGGAGCCAAAATCAAAAGTGGTTAGAGCAACCACTTTGTTGCTTTGGCCTTTGTACAGCAGGCTTCTTTCTGCACACACTTGCACAACCCTCTCTATCCTCCATCCAGGTAAGAAAGAAGCCTCATCAGTCAGGCAAAAAAAAGAGAAAGAAAACAAAAGAAAAACTTTCAAGGAGGGTACACAGCAGGGCTGATGAGGGATGTTGTCTGAGGAAGAAGGGGCGTGGCCTGGAAAGAATCCTAAGGGTCAAAGAGAGAAGGGCCCCATTCAAACCTCAGAGCTCAGGTTCCTCATCCCTGGTTTGGTGCTACATCTGAACCACTCCAATGGGTTTACAGAGACATGGAAAACCACACACACAAGATGACCAAGTTGGACAACTGCACTTCTTTGGGCATTCATAATGATTGAAAATAGTGATTTC